ATCAATAACAACGACTGCAAATTGACAGACGTATTTAATTAATTAATTAATTAATTAATTAACAATTCTTACTGTAAGTTATCGTACAAATTCTTGTTGCCTTTTGATGTGAAATAATGCTTTAGTTAAAGAAACCGGTAGAATAATTCTAGAATTTTGTGGGATGAGTCTTTTTTCTTTTCCTTTTCGTCCATTATGAATAATTAATTAAAAACCAGTTGGAAATCAATGATTTTGCAACTATTGACTAAAGGCGCATTTACACGGGTCACTCTGGATGAATTTCACGCGAATAATAAGAGAACAAGTAAATAGACATGTTCCATCACGTTCACTGCAGTCGATCGATGATTGTATTAAATACAACAATAATTAAAGTTTCTGCTTTGTGGCTACAATTATTTTTTTAAACAGTGGTTTTTAAACGCAAAGGTAATAATATGCCTACATCTTAACATTGCTTCGAGATAGAACCGCCAAGGTCATCCAAAGTGATTTTTTAAATACACCTTAAAATTGATACTGGATTTACGGTGATTTAAAGTAACTATCACTTTTTTTTGTAGATCATAGATGGAGATCCGTTTTACGAGCCTGTAGAAGAAGAAGATGACGAGGAAGAAAACGTAAATGTCGATTCTGGTATAAGAGCTAATAAATTGCGGAAAGATGTTAGAAGACGTAAAGGACTTCACGTCGATGAGGAAGTTGTCGTTCATGCAGAAAAGCAGCGTACTTTGAATAAAAAGAAATAATGTTTTGTATTGTTTATATGTTTTCAAAAAAAAAAGATTATAATTTTTAATATAGTTTTTTTATAAATTGGGATGCTTATATTTCCTGTTTCAAAGGTACGTTTTTTAACTATTTTTTTGTACCTTAAGATGGAATAAGACAATAATATAATTATTATTTATTTCTCCGCATATATCAGCAAAAATGCTGCTATTTTCTTTTGTTCGTGTACAAACCGGGATTCCAACGCAGGTCGAGGCATAGTCCGTACCAGGTTTGCCCTGTTGTTCAATATAGCCCAAACCCAAACACATGCATATTTTTCATGTAATTGTAGCGATACGGTTGTGTTCACTTAAATTTTGGCATGACTTTAAATATGGAAGAAATAACAAGAGATATAGAGGATTATAAGCAAAAACAAAGCAACAAGGAAATGTAAAGGAATGCGGGGAAATAACGAGGAATATCTGGGAATATTTAAAATTCTGTATGGTACACTAGAACAGAATTTTTATAAATTTTTCCAATTATCTTATACATATAATGTTGAGGAAACTTATTTTCTGAAATTTAATATTGTATTTGTGGCATTATTGCCGTTTCTAAATTGTGATCTACCAGGAGCCTTATTTTAATAATTTTATTTATATTTTTCTTTTAAAACGTATTCACATCAAAATTAAGTAATTTTTATTAAATATCCGATAACTATAGTGTCTCCAATTGTAATACAAATAATAATATGGTTTTATTATCAGTAATTTTAGATAAACACAGTCAAAATATTTTCTTTTTCTTCAATCTTTATTGTGGCGCCATTGAATGATTGATAGAGTAGAACCTATTAAAAAAACGAATATGGTCTTAATAAATATCTATCTTTATTAGTATTAGAAGAAACATTATAAAATTTTGGAACTTTCATTAGATCAGTCGATTACAAAAATAACTTATAGCAGTCCAGATCCTCATCGTTTGCCAGGTGTGTTGTCTCCATGCAACCAGTCATTGTCGTTACCAGATCCAGGAACACCTTCAATACCATTCAATCGCCTTTTACCTGGATTAGCCGATCCGTCATCCAACCAATCCCTGTCTTCTCCAGATCCTGGAATACCTCCATTGCCACAAGATTCATCCATGGTGTTGGCGCACCGTTTTCCTGGATTGAAGCCACCATTCAACCAGTCATTGTCGGCCGCGGCTCCAGAAACGCCTTTGTTGACAATACCTTCCTCAAAGAGATTAAGGCTACGCTTGCCAGGGTTGAAACCTCCATCGAGCCAGTCGCTGTCAGATCCAGAACCAGGAATGCCGCCATTACTACAAGATTCATCCATGGTGTTGACGCAGCGCTTACCGGGATTGAAGCCGCCGTTTAGCCAGTCGCTGTCTGCTCCTGATCCTGATAGCCCGTTGTAAGCCGCCCCTTCCTCGAACAAATTCAAACCCCTCTTGCCAGGATTGAAGCCTTGGTTGAGCCAGTCGTTGTCCGAGCCTGCTCCAGGTATGCCTCCGTTGTTGCAAGATTCGTCTAGGAGGTAAGCACATCTCTTGGTGGCGGCTGCGTGCATTCTATGGAAGAAGTCGCCTAAGGATTTGAGGACAGTGGGTTCGTTCCGGGATTGGCGGGCAACAGCTTGTTGATGGTGGGGGTTTCGTTGTAAGTACATGCCCTGGGATGTACCCAGCAACACCGCCGTAATTGCTAAAAGGAAGTTCATGTTGACCTGAAAAAAAAAAAATAGAAAGTCAATTAAATTGATATTTAAATATATGTACATTGGTGGTAATTTTTCTGATAGTGAAAAACGAGAAGTAATTACTTACAGCCTTTGATGTCCAAAGCAATAAAAACGTAACCCAACTGAATTATACCGCGGTGTCCCGTACTTTTATACCATTCTTTATCAATGATAAATTCACTTTATTGGTAGAAATTAATAAAATAAGCCATATGGAGTCTATCATTGTAGTAAACGTAATTAAGTTGCTACTGTTTATTTAATGAAATAATGATAATGGTATAAATTAAATATTAGGTATAAGCTTAGCAAATAATACCGAATAACTTCCTATTTTTGCCACTTTGATGATATTAAACACGGTTCTCGGAATTCCACCCACACGCAAATGTACTTTTGTTTCGGTCTTTTTTTTGACCAACAATGGGGTGCATTCAATATCACTGAACAATGTATAAGTTTTCAAATGGTTATATAAAATTTCTCTTCAAATTTTACAAAACAAAATTAAAGCTCTGTAAAGCTAAATGAAGTAGTAGGTCATATCCTGACATCTAACGCTTTTGTGTAATTCTCTTCCTGTATAAATTTCTTTTTAACTATTCATTTGTGATTACATTACTATTAGTGTCCTTTGCATTTAACCAATTAACCAGATACCACCAATCGAACTGAGGAAAGTTTTTTTAAATGCAGAATAATTTAAAATAATTCTGAAAAGTTTCCTACATGTTATTAAATTACATAAAACTTACAAGGTGCGAAAACAGATGACATAATTTCAGATAATGATATCAAAAAAATATTTCTTATAGACCATGAGACTACTGTCATTGGCATTTTTCCATTTGAGGTTTGGTTAAAGAATTACGATTTTATTAAATATGATGAAACTTCACATTAACAGATTTTAACTGATAATAAAAAAAACAAGGTTTAAGCATCGAAGATAGTCAATTTTGGCTAAAGTTTTTCTGGAAATTGGAATTATTATAATTCCTCTTCCAGAGGTACAATTTTTGACATTATTTCTGGACAAACGTGTCTTGCAGTCAACATAATTTCCAAGAAATGGTTATTGATGTGTTGAGTTCTACGAGTAAAAATTTCATCCACTCTGTTAAGATTAGTTTTATGTTTTATGACTCCTGGTCTTATTCTAACAGTTTTGTGTTCTATGGTGGTTTTAAACTGTAATATCAAGGTTTTCAATAAATGCTCAAGAACAAAAATATTACACACAGTCAATAAACTGCGAATCTTGGAACACACTCCCATGTCTAAAAAAAATTTTGCACATTAACCGCATCCAGTATGGAAGCTATGTATTTATTTTATAAAATATATTCGTTTTTGCCACAAGCATAAAGGTAATTATTGATTATTTTTCTGCATTTATTAGCCACGAATGGATAAGTACAATTTGAGTCAAATTTACGTTTAAATGATCGCGATTGAAGTCGTATATTCATAATTTAATATGATTAATTTGTTACTGAAAGTTGCAGCACGGTTGAAAAAAAAAAAATTAAACCTGTATAACGTAACCTAATCTCGTTGGTTCTTGTTAATCACAATATATTTTAATTAAGCCTCTGTTGTTTGCTGGTACTCAACCAATTTGATATCTTTAGTATGACAATTTATTTACTACCTTTATTAAATATAATTGAGGGCAACATGACGTCAGGAAATGTATATTGACTAATAAGTGATAATTAAGAATAAAATAAACAAGTTTTTTTCATTAATATTTGGTGAAATTTAAGGAACTTGGACTAAGATAAAAATTCCTCTAAAAACTTTGATATCATTAAGTACACTTTGCTTTTACATTGAAATTAATTCGATACGTAGTAAAGTGTCTATGAATGCTTATTCGCAATGTAGCACAAAAAAAATTCTATAAATTTCGTTTCCACATTTTTTTTACATAGAAAATAAGGAAAGCTTAAAAAATTATGAGCATTTCAAATCATATCGTTTCTTTTGGGCTACCCTTTAGAAAGACTTGCTACAGTCTTTGTGAAGTACATTTTGAAAACGATCCGTTTATCGTAATCACGTCCTATAACCTGATGGAACACTGTGTTATTTGCGTTGCTTTTCGCGCATCTTCCCTACTGAGGTTTCCTCTTCTATTGATGGAAGTGTGAACTAGGCTTTATATCGAAATTCAAGAGCAGCAAATTTATGCAACCTATTGTACGCCGACGTATATTGTATGTTGCATAGCCAGAAGTATGTTGAAATGGAAAAATAAGTGTTTCTTGAATTGTAAGTTGCATAATCATTGTATTTATCAAGAAATATAATTTTTGTACATTCTATTTGACATTAACATTCTGTAGGGTTGTTTAGAATATAAATATACATAAAAAAAATGTGGTTTGAGATTCTCCCCAGTTTCGGTATAATTGTTGTTGCCTTGGCTGTCCCTCACGCATCAGCTTACGTGATAAATAAACTGGTAGTAGGAAATGTAAGTATCTTAACCTAAAAAATTATATAATGTCTATTTCATTAAAAATCATCGTAAATGAGTTAAAACTTTAATCATTGTACTTTTTCATATAACTCGTTGTCATAACATATCAGTAAGGTTAATTAAAATTTTGTATCGTTATTAGGCGAACTTGACAATAACCTAAAATTAGAAAATGTTGCTTCAAATATGCTCTTTTCAGATGTATCGCAGGGGTATGTACAAATATCAGGATAGATTACAATATCTGAGGGACAGGCGGCTAACTGGTAATCCGTACAAAGTTCAGGGCCTGGAAGCCATTCCCGATAAATAAATGATGGTATTACAGCAAGTAAAGAAATGTACAATTCGTCGTGTGTGTAACATAAGTCAAACATTAAGTAGTAATATACAATTTTATTATTATTATTATTGGGTTTTTATTTGCAAAGTGGTCCCCTACAGAAACATAAATATACTATATGGGACATTCAAATTGACCCAGAACACCCCTAACAAATTTTGTATGTCATATGATTTCCATTATTTTGTATATATATATAGGGTGTCTTTATGCATCTACAGAACCAAGTGCTATGGCGATGAGGTCACTGCTATCAGGATCGGCTTTAGGGGTGGCTACGGAGGCTGTAGCTTCGGGCCTCGGTTTGAAAATATGACATTTAGTACGAGGGGTTTTAAAGGTAAAACCCTCGTTCCTCAAGTTTTATTAATTTCAGTAACTTTTATATATAACCTAAAATTTTCAGTGTAAATTTTTGTTTGGTTAAAAAATGAATATGTCACTGTACATCTGCTTCTGTTACAAATAAAGTCGTACATTATTATATCTGCCTTCAAATTACTTGAAAATGGCAAAGCAACAGTGGAAAAGTTTTAAAATTTGCTATTAAATCATTCTTCGCATCATCTTATAGTGAAATTTTAAACTTGTTTAAAAAATGATAGCTGTAATTTAATAACTTGTGATAAGAAGGTTTTAAAGGGTGTGAAATTAAGCTATATTGTCAGATAAAAAAATGTCACAGCAAGTAGCATCACTATAGCAGTTGGTTCTATAGACCATTAAGATACCCTGTATATATTTAAAAAAAATTATTGAAATTGTATAACACCCTAAATTGACATTTGATTTGTTACTGATCAAATCTGAAGGTGCTATATAAAACCTAAGGAATTTTTAACTTGATATTGATTTTCTCTAAATTTCTTTATTGCTTTTGTCATCCATATTTTCAATGTTTATGCAAATGTTTATTAAATTCTTGATATTTTTATTAGATTAAAATATGATTGGATTCTTACTAAATTTCAATTGGATTTTAATGAATACTTTAAAAAAATATTTATCGTTACTGGATTCTATGTAAAAAGTTGAAAAAAAAAAGATGTTCATAATTTTTGTTTTGGCATTAAAATCAAATCGTCTTGGCTAGAATTTTTTTTTCTATTTTAATTTCTGATTAGGTGCAGGGTAAGTATTAAATAACAAAATGTTTAGAGAAATATTTTAAAACAATTTATTTACCGTAAGTACATGTTAGTTAAACATAACAATATTATCTGGCCTGTAAATATGAATTATTTGTATAGACTTTAAATTAACTTAGTAGCAGCATCGTTTTTTTTGTTGCCATCACAGGCCCAACATTCACAAAGTCAACTATAGTTGTTAATATAATTACGATAAAATAGGGAATGTAACTGGAAAGACCTTCTATATCGTATTATTTAATCAGTATTAAGAAATCAGTTACTATAAAGTGAATTGAGGTCCTATTAAAATTTTAATTTTAATTAGTAAAACTTAGAGGATTAGGAAAGACTAGTGTATAGAATATTATACATACATTTATAGAACAATTTCAAAAATTAAATTTAGGAATATAGTGAGACATTGAAGAGTTCTTAATAATTTAAATCTACTCATGATCTATCACACTTATCAAAAATTATGTATTATGGTAAAATTCATTATTTAAGATATATTTGTACTCGTCAATGTTTCCTGTGAAATATAACTATAGATAAAGATTGCATGCAATAATAGTAAGATTTTCATCGTTGATACTTTTATTACAGATCTAACTATATAAAGGTTTGACTTTATAGTAACTTTATTTACTCGCAATATTTATATTATGACCCGATGCCAGCATATAAAGCAAATAGTTGAAAAAACATTTTTCTGTATCCAATACTACAATAATACGATGCAGCGCAAAGCAATAATGGACCGTACTGAGATACGCCTACAATACATTTTAAAGATATGCAACAATCTAATACTTAATGTGCTTAGATATAGAAAATGTACATTTGTAGAATTAGAATTAAATTAGAGGTAGAGTAACTTTGCACTGGATGGAGCCACTAGGTGATCAATACATACCCCGAATAGCAAAATTTATTACAAGCATTTATTTATTAAATAATTTTAAAATGCGAATTGTCCAAAATAAGGATTTATTATAAATCAAAATGATGCTCTAAACGTGCAGTGCATCCAAATTTGGTGTGTATTGTGTGTTGCATAACAATACCAATGATAACCGGATTAATTGAGATAACTTGTCCTGACATGTTTTTCGTAGAAATTTAAATTATTACAAATCACTTAATGGCTCTACTGCGCCTCAGTTAATTTCATCATGAAAATAGAAATGCAAAAATTTTTCTAGCGAGATATTACCGTATCACATCCAACAAAAATAAACTATGATTATTAGGATAAATAGAACTGCAAGGTGGAATGAAATCAAATTAAATCGCATTTAATCATTAGGACTTCTCCAATGACTTACCTAATCATAAGGTTAGTTTATTTGGAAGTGATAAATTATAAAGAAAACTTTACAAACCTCCGTTACTGGGTATGTCATTTGAAAATTCCAATTATTATTTTACAATGAAATGGTTCTTAGCTGCTTGATAGTTAATTTCTTTCTGAATATATATGACTGAGACACAATGAACAATAAATAATAAAAATTACGCTACTACCTATTTGTCTATATTGTTATTGCTTGTATATATGCAGTGTTAAGTTGTCCTGGTCTTTCTAACAGTCAGTATGCGCCTAATATTTTCATATTTTAGATACTTATAAATTTTTGTGAAATTACATTATTTGAAAATACACATTAGCAATATTTATTAATAATAATAAATATACTATAAAAAATTATAATGTACACAATATATTTTATTTATACATGCATCCATAATCTATAATTCGTTCTTTTATCATTTCATCCTTCAAAATTATTCCCGAATATACTTAAATTTTAATTATTTAAATTATCCAGTGCAATAAGCATATTAGAATACTAAGTTTTGCTATTGTAGGAATATTGTGTTTAGATTTAATATAATAGGTAATGTGGACGATGTTGGGGTATAAATAACTTAAAGCATTCATTTCTAGCTGCATCCAATATTTATCTGTGAGTAGTGTAAAAATATTTTTATTTTCCAAGAGAGAAAAGAGTTGCTCTAATTGTACTAATATACTATTTCTTCTAAACCTGATTCTAACGGAGAACTGAACATTTTAAAAGGACCACCTCATTTCTGCTACTAGCACAGGTCATATTTTGAATAGCAGAAAGAGGACATAGTTACATTACATACCCACGATGAAAAATCATATTACATTTTAAATGGCAAGAATAGAGCCGAGAAATAATAAAAAATAATGCAACTCTTTTGTCTTCACCAATCAATATTAAAAATAAGTGTAGGTAACTTAACCTTGATTTCTGTATAAAAAGACCATCACATAATCAGGCCAATTCATTTTTTTTTTTTTTAAATAAATATTATGAGAAAACAAAAGTCTAGATGCAAACTTGAAAACTTAGAACCAACTACTCGTTCCTCCTCCTAACTTGGAACCTATTCCTCCTAAACCTTTTCCAAAGATATTCCCAACTTTTCCTCCGATCATGGTTCCGACGTTAGACACAAAGTTTCCATCTTCTCCACCCAAAGATTCCATTATTGTTACCTTTGTTTTGCTTCTGTTGTCTCCATCTTCGTCTATCCCTTCCAAACCACTAAAAAATATATTCCACTAAAGAATCAATTTTTTCGCACTTGTGCGCGTCATGCGTAAAAATTTTACGTACTAACGAATAGTGGGAATATCGCAGTACAGATATTCCAAAACATGTAAAATTCTGTTTAAAGGTTACAACATATCTTCAAAGTTCCAGAAAAATTTAAAAATTAGTTTTATGGGAAAAACCCAAAAGAAATATCAATATTGCTCTGAACACGCGAAACCCTCTCTGATTGGTGTGACGTCACGATGCGGGGCAGGTTAGTGTGCGAGAATACTGCACGTTCAGTAGAGACGGGCTAAACCGCTCTTTTTATGGAGCAGTGACAACCCGCGATTACTCGGGAAACTGAGTAGCGACAAATAGTTGCGATTTGTTACAATTTTACAATTTAATACAGACTTTATGAAAATGGTGATAAGTTGTAGTATGCTGTTGAATACGCTGACAATCCGATGTTTAGATTTTCTTGTAAGTCAATGTTAACGTGGTCCGCCTCTGGTTATTTGTACTTCATGTACGGTTCACCCGTGACATTAACTTACCCTTCTGCCTGTCCCATAGTCAGGGCACAAGTTGCTTCTTCCGTTTGCATTCTTTGAGCTATTGTCTGATAAGCTTTTGAATTCAACTTATCTTCCATAACTCCTTGGAGTTCAAAATCGGAGTAAATTTTCTATAAAATAATTGTAATGTTTTATCATTTTTGCTATAACGCAGATTTATATATATCCTTACCTTGACAATATGAGCAAGGCACGTACATTGGTATGGATGCAAAGTGTGATCCAACCGTTCAGATAACCAGTTGCAAAGCATATTGATTTGACCGGTATACCATTGTTCAAAGAAATTTAAAATCCATAATTCATCTGTTACTTTCCCTCGTATTTGGTCCATGCAGTTGCGTGTGAAATTCACATATCCCTGACCCATGTCCTTCCCAGAACCAGAGACATTCTGAAATTCGAAAATAACAATAAACGCATGATAATGCTTTTTTATTTGTTTGTATTACCGTAAAACTTAAAATCGACCCTATGAGACTTCCCTCGTCGTATCTGGATAATTTCGACAAAGTGGCTTCTAAAACAGACATCAATTTACTGATCATCCCTTGGTTCATGTTGGCCAAGGTTTTGTCAATCATATCATCGATCTTGGTATGGTATTGATGCTGAAACCACAGAAAGAATTAGAACATTCCACAGATTGGTTTTGTATACTAACCAAATCAATTCCGTCAACCGCACATAATTTGAACGATTGATTTTTGGCGTCTAAGATTACGTTGACCATGGCGCACATTTCTGATGGTAAAATGTAATCAGTAGATATAAAGGTGACTGATTTCTTCAACCACTGTTGGAAAGCCGATTCCGTCCTCTGTATGCACGACTCCATCATGTCGCAAGCCATGAGTTTCAAGCGTTGCTCCAAGTGTTGCCTGAATTCTGCGTCGGGCCAGTGCAAGTCTCGAATGAACGACTGAAGAGCGTCCAACTTCCAAAACAGGTCCTCAGAAGTCGCACAACCATTCCTATAAATTAATTTTGGATGGTTGCTAAAGCGTGCAAGATCAGTCACTCACCCTTTGATTTCCCACCTTTCCTTCTCGAAACCTTTGTGAATAGACTGAGCGATGGAAGATTCCATAAGATCCACATATCGGACAACCAAAGGCGCGAACGTATCCCGAAGATGTTGGTGAAACCGACCATTTTTTAAATTATCTGTAAATTGGTAGATTGTTAGGTAGATCCAGTGGATTGGGATATAATGATTTACCATCAGCCCTGAGATAGTCGTTAAGGATTTGAAACAATGGAAATGAGTCCCAGGTATCCGCTGGTTGCTCTGCTAAAACTCTGTCCATGTCCACAGCAAACAAAGACCAAAATATTTCAGCGTGTTCAACCAAAAGGTCACTGAACCACGCAAAGGCCTATGCGACAAAATTAAAATCAATATTTGCACGTGATTTTGTAGGATTTTCTCTTATTATAATTTTATCACTATAAGGGACATAACATGCAGTATATCAGGCGCTGACTGAATGAAATATGCAACACACCAAATATTGGAAATATCGCTTAGCAAAGTTTACAGAAGAAGGCAAATGATCACACCACATACTACACTGACAAGCAATAGCGAGGTCAGATTAGCATTTCAATGTATTTTAGCTGTAGAGCGTCCAATAAATTTTCTCAACCGTCATTAGAAATTCGTAAGCAAACAAATATATCATTTAAAAGAAATCCCCAATCCCAGCTCCACGCATGCGTTGTTCGTGTACGAATATTCGATATTCGTAAATTTCCTGTTGCAAATATTTTATATAACATTTGTATTGTATTGTATTGCAATTTTCTATATGTTTGGCATTAATTGACTGACAATAGGTTTTAGATAAAATATATGGTGACGTAAATACAAAAGAAACTCTTATACGCTCATGCAAGTAAACATTTACCTTAAGACTATCCTAGTATGGATATTTAGGTACACTGATTTTTTATTGAACTTCAAGGTTCATAAGAAATTTGAAAGAATATATTAAATTGCGTCTAAAAATATATTCACTACAGTTTTTAAAGGATTTGTTGATGTTTCAAATAATTTAAATTAGTAAAAAATTCATAAAAGAATAAATTTGACAACTGCGCGTTAAACACCGTAGACAATCAGCTGGACGACAGAGACAGTGATAGTTGACGGTCGTGATCGAGAAAGTTGATCCAGTGCGTTCTGTGTTTTTGATTATCTCATTTCACTGTTGTTTTTTCATTTTATATTTGGTTTTGTGACATATTAGTATCCGAATAAATAACTCATCATCGTGAATATCTTGATAAGTTATTTATTTATGGAAAGCTTCGTTGCAATTGACAGTATAAATTAATGAAAAATAAGGTTAAGATTAACGACGCGACACAGTCTCTCTTGCGGTGCCAGGATGTGCGCACACTGTAATGCAACGTAGTCAAGTTGTGCAGATTATCCAAGTTCTGCCTTTTAATTTAAATGACAATATTTAGAAAATGATTTAGAGTCCATGTCATTTAATACTGTTTTGTTTAAGTTCAATCTATCGCCTGTTAAGATAATGACAATCAATCCATTTACGGTCTGTACAATGGACATTTATTATTTCATACTATTTCAAAACGGACGAAGGCGATATATAGCAGACTGCTAAAGCGAATATGAACATTCGCTAAAGAATATTTGTAAAGTACACAAATATGTCGGTTGAAAATAATTATTTCTATAAAGTTTTATGTAACATATAAAAAGAGAATGCTTTTGAAAATATACTACACGATCATGAAATGAATGTTCGTTTACGCAAACGTAGAGCTCAGATTGGGACGTAAAACCACATACAAGTAGCGAAGGTAAAGAAATAAAAATAAGACGTTATTTGGATTTTTTTTGTAATTATGAATTTTTAAGAAAACAAAAAAGCAGAAATACAACGAAATGCTTGCTTTAAAAATAAAATGTTTTAAAGCACTGCCTGTTTGTTCTGTGAAATAATATATTCCTTGATTTAAATATTTATTGAACGCTATAATGAGTAGATTTGTTGTAAATGTAGTAAAATATAGTGACGGACTGTCAGCATCAGTCGGCACCTGTTTTTTCTTCTAAATTAACAGTTTTCTGTTTAATATCTTAAACCGAAAACTGTATTCTTGCTATCTATAACTTTTTCGTATAACATTTCAGCACTTGTATTGTATTTTATGTTATGTAGGCCAATTTAGGTCATACAAAATATAAAAACACTATTTTCCAAACAGGCTATATTTTTTTAACAAAAATTTTGAATTTATGCACCGACAAATGTTAGATGCTAGGTATTTATTAAATACAGCACTGTTTGTTGTAGTACTGTCATTTTAAATTAAATTCTACTAGACATTTTGCAGAATATTTTCCACAAATAAATGTTACTATTCAGAAAGAACGATACTCACTAGTGATCACTGGTTTGTGTCTGATTCGTATAAAACATTAGACTGACTAAATTTAATTAACTGAGTTGTTAGCTATATTTTCTGCTCGATAAAGTTGTAATAAAAAATGTTCTACAGCTAGCGGGCGTTCACCAAAAGTGCAAAGGAGAGTAAACATTAGTTCGTCGATGTTAGCTCGAAATGCCCACCTTGTGTCCATATTAGAAGGAATCCGTCCGCAACTTATTGTAACCGCTTGTATGTCAACAATAACCAAGTCTTTGGTGTACCGATTTAACAGGGCAGGCGAATATGTGACCAAAGACCAACAGACGGCCAACAGAGTTTTTAGGAGGCCCGTATTGCTTTTTCACTTCGCAAATTAAACTTATTAAGGACATATACTTTTTTATAAGACGTTTTATAAGAAGTTTAGATTCACGTCGTCGCATAAACGTAGACACCAGGTGGAAGGGTACACTGATTTTATTACCGACCCACACAACGCTATTGACTCAAGGTGCTAACCTCAAATACTGAACTACAATAAATATGTATCACACAACAATTATATATGAAATTATTTAAAATTCTTCTGTCTGACTTCTGTCATTTAAATTAGAAAATAATATCACGGGTAGTGACGTCATGAAGCAATAGCAGATGCGAGGCTTTGTACTGTGTTCATATCTTGCAAGAACGAACTGTCTGCATTATGGCAATTTACAGACCTGCTGAAAGCGCTCCAGAAAAAAGATAAAGAGATTGTTACAACTTATTTTTAAGGACTCGCGTTTGCTCCTTTGATGAATAGCCGCTTTAATACCAAACTCGCTGAACCAGTGTAACTCTAGTTACACTACGGTTACGGTCAATTTATGTGTTTGGTCTGTTACGTTTTGCGGTAACATTCTGCAATAAGTCCTAGACGTTTGTTAAATGATTCATAATCCAGTCCATAGAATCTTCCCCAAAACTACCGAATGTGGAACACACCCGTTAGACCTAAAATGACGTGATGTTTGGGGGGAGGGCATGTTCGGAATTGTCAAGCAGTTACCAGGCGAGATTGTATGCAATGGATCGTAGGTTAAGTACTAAGAATTAGAAAAGAGATAGAAGATGTACGTGCCGTAGGATCTGGTGGGGTGTAAGTAGCATGCTGAGGCATGCAATAGCGAGACACAGAGTTTTGGTGCTTGGCGTCGCGGCTGCCGGGAGTGCCTGGAGCGGGCGAACTAGAACTAGAATTCGCGCCCGCTGAGGCTGCTTGACTTGACGGTTGCCGGTCTGCCTTGCGCAGTTGCTACATATACATACAGAATAACACATAACAATGAGTACATGTTACAGATACATCAGTTAAAGGCAAATTATACACAGTTGGAACCACAGTTCTGGGTACGGTACATAAACTTTCCTGTCACATTGGATTAACTATTGTACGAGTTTGTACAAACATACACTCGGGCAAGTCCTGATTCTGAACTCGCTACTACCATATTCGTTCAACGTTCAAACCCCAAAACAAATCTAAATGTGTTAAGTGACGTGTTAAGAGGTGATGTGTCGTCAGAAGCCTAAAACACGCTTAAGTACGATACAACACGTTATTAATATTTGGCAAACCCACACGACCGTCAGAGTGTTTAGCGCATTAGAAAACTAACCTTTTGATTAAGATTCGTGTTAATTCCTCCACTGTGTTCACTTCAGTATTAGACATCAAACTCTTCCAGTTGACCTCACGCTCGTCATACAATCGCGATGCAATGGAAGCATTTTGATGGCGCTCGCCGTGTGAGGCAGCGACATATTTTAGATACAAAAACAACCACCTTTGCTTTTACGTATAAAATAGAAGTTTGTGTACATCCAAAAAACAACGGCGATTGAATTAAAAATGTAAAATCGACTATGTCTGTATTTGTTTTAATTAATAATCTTTATGTGAATAGCTAATTTAATAGCATTATTCCCTTGCATATATATACACATATAATATTTTTAAATGAAAGACAAATTCAGCGTTGGCGTTATATATTTATTACATAATACATATTTTCAGCGTGGGAAGCGCTCCAGCGCTTACCTCTGCTGCTGCTTGAACAGCTGATCTCCGTTTCATGGATATACGCGTATTAAATAACAGTGAAAATTAAAATCAGCGGTGGTTAAATGTCGAGTCACAAATGGCAAGATCCACAGTGTACAACTTCAGGCGTACTTTATACAAATACATTCAAAACATTAGAATTATCTAATGTGTCATACTGGACATGATGTGTTGACAGATGTTAACACATCATGTGTTAGTAATGCGCTTTTTGCACGCGTTAGCTTTGTTCCTAGTGTGTTAGAAATAGTTTCCAAAAGTCAGATCTAATCGCATTTGATTCGAAACAATGAATTTTTAACCTTACATAAGCATTATATCGAATGCGCACGCATCTGGCTGTTGGAAATTGTTTTGGATTACTCTAGGAACAAACCTATTATTGTGTCGTGTTAACACCTCTCATCACAGTGTGCCACATCAGATACTCTGATCATGTTATGTTATTCTAATGTGTCGTGTTTCAACCATTTTCAATATTTATTGCTATTTATTACATGCCTTTACTTTTTATATGCCACACTAAATAGAAAGAGAAATTGTAAATAAATAACCCATTAATTGAAGTTTGCTGTTAATGAGGTGAGGCCATTGGGTAGTTATTTTAAATAATAAGTAAAAACATCGACTGATCCCTCAATACGCTGACGGCTATCTGACACTGCCAGACTAGAAACAGGTGTTGTGTCGTTATTTAAGCGTACCATCGGCTTCTGACGTCACATAACATGTCAGAGGTTTACGAAAATTCACTACGGGTGCTTAGCTGACTTACTCAATTTTTTTTAGTTTTAAACGAAGAGAATTTTTGTAAGCCCCTTCTATTTAGACAACGTAAACGATATTTCCGCAAAACGTATTAACACGACACAACACATACTTCGAGCTTAGAACACATCATTAACACGACACGACGAATAATCTGATCTTGTTTTTAATCGCATTGTCTCTAGCCTTTAACACTTAATTAACGGGTGTTTCCAGTAACACATTAATAGAACTTTCGTTGAAGGCATGCTGACAATTACAATCGTCTTTGATTTGAAATTAAATTTAGGTTACTTTTGCCAATGCTGCTACCTAAAACGCTACAAAGTGACGCTGAACATGATGTCGCTCGTCGCTTCCAATATGAAGTATTAGTAGTATTAACACCTTGCGTGCATCTGCGTATGTTTGTAAAAACAAATTTGCAAATTATTGACTAAACAACCAGCTGAACTGAGGTTGTGTTTATTCTAACACAGGAAAATTTTGTAACCGTCTATGAATTTGTCAATAAAAATACACATAGTATTGTTAAATTAACTCAGTAGGTACAACTTTAATTTTTACAGGGCATTCACCCTTTTTCGTTTTTCTATATATACGGTGTTTCAGAAAGACCTCCCGTAAATACGACGGGTGATAGTACGACAAAAAAATAAGAATTTTTTGACTTATGAACTATATGTCTATCTTCTCTGGTTTTCGAGATACAGAGACACAAAATAAAAATTTTTAAATAGAATTTTTACGAGTTTCCAAACGGAGCGAAATATTTTTATGAAATTTGGTATTCCGGGGTTTTTAAGGATGCCAAATACGCTGGTCTAATTATTTTTTAGTTATGCTACATTTTAAGTTCTAATTTTTTAAGGTTAGGTTTTTACCATTCGGGCTCCAATTTGTAATGTACAATTTTATTTTCTAAAAATAATCTTGTTAAAGCTTCCTAATGTCTTAAAAATTTTATTTTGTCGTTCTGTATCTCGAAAACAAGAAGAGATAGACATATAGTTCATAAGACAAAAAATTCTTATTTTTTGTCGTACTATCACCCCCTATATCTACGAGAGGTCTTTCTGAAACACCCTGTATAAAGAACTCGTAGACTAAAATTTTAGAGAATTTTCTTGCGATTTAAAGAAATATATAAAAAGACAGTAATATTATCTTCTCCTTTAGGTCATAAGATGAAAGTCCCTCATAGAAAGAACAACATGGAGGTCAAAGCAAGGTCAACTTGAAAATGTTAAATGGAACACCCTATTTTTTATGTCAGCTTTCGAGAGAGCGTCAAATTTTTCATCCGAGCATGGGGTTAGAAAAGTTTTCCCGTTTGTCTTTGCAGATCATATGAAGGTCAAGTTCAGTTTTTCCTCAATATCTGCAAAAATATTTGAGGAGAAATTTTGAACGACAAATGATTGCTGCCGTAAAAAACAGGGTGTTTGGATTAATATTTTTAAGTTGACATTGGTTTGTCCTTGAAACTTAGGTAAAGGTCAAAGACAAGGTCACCAACATGGTTTTGGACCACCCAGTCATATAATTTGGTTTATATCACAGAAATACAACAGCCAACTGTTCTTTTTATGCATTTATTTGAAATCTCGAGGAAATTTCCTAAAATTCTTAGCCATTTTATTTTTATATATAAAGGGTAATATTATGTGAACACCCTTGTACAATTTTATATCTTAAATATCCCAGATTTGAATTGACGTAAAATGTGTATCTTTACGACACAATATTAGCAGTAGGATAACAGTAAACAGTATATTATTTTATTGATTTCAGTGTTCCAATACCAATTTCAAATAATTAAGTTTATATTTTAATATTAACTGTTGCATTTGACATTTCAGTTATCGGATTTAATTACAATTAAATTGAATATTTCCATCATTTTAATAGATCGATAATTGCGCAATTAAACATAGATAACCCTCTAAAAAATATTCATATATAGAAAATGATTTTCAAAGTATTTTCATCCTTCCTAACCTACAAATGAAGATGATCAAGGCAAGTAACTACAATTAAATTGAAAATTAATAACTTTAAAGAACTTTAACTTGTGGAACACTCCGCTTGAATAAGAAAATAATCAACTGGAATAACGAAGGATTTATAAAACTGTCACTAAATTATAAACGTATACAGGATAACGCCTCACCTCTGCGTAATGTTCTTCGTTTTGTTGTAGAAGATCCACGCAGAGCTCAGCTAAGTGTATTAAGTCGTCCAGTTTTTTACTTGGAGACACCATTGTTTCACCCCTTAAATCTTCTGTAACAACACAGAAAAAAAAAATTAACACATACCTCGCACACGATATTTTTTCTACTACCGATTCCAAGCATTCAAATTCATGTATTTTGGTACTTAGCTTTGATAAACAAACGATATTATAAAACACACAGCGTTGGTGTTTATGGTGTATTTGTAGATAATTTAATTTGTTGCTTTTTAATAAATAATGTGTACGCCTATGTCCCGCGGCTCAGTTCTGACAGCCCTAATAATAATAGTACAAAGTATAGTGTGGTAACCAGAACCGTGCTCTTTTTAATAAATCAGTCTTTATAAACGTTACGTTATCTTTAAATAGACCACCTTCAAGTTTCTGAACTCAACGCTGTCGGAATTGCAGTGGAACAAGGTTTAACAGAGCAGACCATTGCGTGAATAAAAGTAACATTAAACTTACAGTAGTAGAAAAAATAAGTTTTTAAATACCCTCGATTAGAGGGAATACGTCACCTTCGATTTTTGCTTCTGATGATAACCTAGTGTAATTAACTAAGGCCGCAGTCTCTAAACATTTCTTTATCATTCCGCGGACTTCTTCCGGAGGCACTGGTGTAACAATATCTTTCATTAGAACCCTTTCTAATAACGAAAGGGTTGCTTTTAAAGCACCTTCTGGTCTACCAAAAGGAAAACAATACCTGTAAAATAATCGTTTGACTAGTTAGTACCCTACTACTTACGCAAATATTGACGCCGCCGATAAGCGTTCGAGTTGTTCTGTAAAAGCCGCACATCATGGCAAGATGCGGGTGTAAATATTTTTTGCGTAGGTAAATTGCTCGAAAGCGTAATTGAAGTGACCTTTGCAAACATATTCGTTTACAGTTAATGACTGTTTTTATAGCACGCGACTTTACGGTTCTCTAAGGGCAAGGAATATGATCCTGGATGTTCCAACAATTTACCCACTGCGTTTTAAAATGTGTAATAGCTTTGTTTTACAGGTATCCAGTTAATTCAAATTAATTCGAAATATTTTCTTAAATACTCATCACATGAAGTCACATACGCTTTTAAACCAAATATCTTCGTATGCTAAGGATATAGCTAGACAAATAACTAATAATTATCTAAAATAAAAAACTTATCCAAATTGACGTATTGAAATCAGTATTGCAAAAATTAAGCCGTGAATGATAGGCACGAAACGAAAACGGGTTCGATTGAAATGTGCCAGCTGACTTTGCACCTGGTACGATATGACAAGGGATGTAAACGGGTATAAAAACAAACTGGCAACGTTGATTCGGTGAAATGAAAATGGCCGAATAAGTTGCCACCGCTTCTTAAGATGTAAAAGGCCGAAGATAGTCTCCGCCCTGTACAGGGTGTCTCAAACTCGATAGTATGGGTCTACTGAGGATACAAAAAGTTTAAATAAAAATTGGGACACGTGGTGTTAAATGGGATGAGATCAGCTGCATTTAATCGAAAGTATTATCTTTGGGATTTGACAGAAACGACTAATGACGTCATCAATTATATTTTTTCCAGAAACATACCCAAATTTTTTCCTGTTAAAAATCTCTCTTTTTTCTAATAGACTTTTATAAGAGAAATTTTTCTGTATTACCTCCCGCTTAAAAGTTATAAGCAATATCGTCCTAAAAAGTCTGAAAAGAAATACCACAGTAGGCCCATACTATCGATTTTGAGACACCCTGTACAAAAGCACAGTACAGTGAAACCTCTTTAATCCGAACACCACATTGCCAGGCATTGTTCGTATTATCGAATCGTTCGGATTATAGAACATACTATAAAGATTTGTACATATGTACATTATTTACGTACGTACACATTTTATTATAATAATATAAATATAAATCATATAAGACGCATAAAACTTATATAAAGTAAAACATAAACATGTAGTTACATATACATATATGTATTATTTTACGCTTTTCACATTTATTTTTCTTACTTCCAAAAAAACTCCAAATTTGTTGCACAAAACACGACACGCCACAGGTTGTTCGCTATCGGCAAATAAACTGACTGCCGACTACGCGCGTATGCGCGAAACGATCTAGTCTTTTCTTGTCATCGTTCAGATTTGGCCGTTCGGATTAGCGTGTGATCGGATTAACGTGTGTTCGGATTAAAGAGGTTGCACTGTATTAAAAGTATATAAAATAAATAATTCTAAAAAGTGCGAAATATACAATATATTACTGTCAAAATGTCTTAATACTGTCTGATTTTAAGAAGTCCACCTATTTCTGTCTTTGAAAAAAGGATCAAAATATTCAGCTTTCTGTCGATCACTTTAAAAGACAGGTAAAATTTTTTCCGATATGGTATTCTTCATGAAATTTTGCCATAATTTCGCCGATATTGTATCTCTAAGATAATAAAGATCTCTATGGTGCCACTCATAAAATGAGCATCCGTAATTTCGGCAAATTTTTAGAATTAACTCGAATTAACTTTATATTTTTAATAATGTAAAAAATATATAAATTATAAACTAAAATAGTTTGTCAAACCGACAGTAATTCCTGTGTTTGTTTGTTTCCACTTCCGCTTGTGTTAGCCTAGGTTATGAAAGCTGTGTTGGTTGTGGTAGTATTTGTATATGCATGTCAATAGCAGCGTTCAGTTACTTAATGTTTACCTGAAATTAGTTATTTGATTTTCTAATAAAACCCGTAGCCGTTCTTTCACTTCCTGGAATTTCTCCTTTTCCTCGTGCGTAACGCTCCCAACTCCGTCGGGTCTAAAGTTATTACTATTGTTATCAATTAATCGGTATTTGACAGCCCTAGTGTTAAGTCTACAAACCTGTTTCCGTGTACGTGGCTAGCGCAAAATGCAAAACTATAATGTATTAAAGTAGGATCTATCATTATATTCCTCTCCGCCCTGTCTAACAGGTCTGACAAGTAGCACAAGTGCCTAAAACATCCCCGAACCCCGTATCTCGCGCAATATTCGTCCAACACAAAGACCTGCCCGGGGCTAAACCATCCCTAAAACAAAATTTTACAAATATTCAGTCATTAATGAACGCAGAATTTTCCCACGGAGGAGAATAAATTTTAACACGTGTTTCCATTGATCTTACACCGCGCCCTGAGGGAAAAATATCGTAAGGCTTTTGAGGGTAAAAATGTATTTTTAACTACCTTTCTATTTCCAGTGTTTCAAAAATTAAACAGCTCCACATGGATCATTTTCCTTTTGGGGAAATCTTTAAAAACAATTAAAATTTACCGTTTTGCAGTGTTAATTTATAAGAATTGTCAAAAATCTCAATAATTGTACATTTAACATAAACTTACGACTTTCGACTATTCTTCTTTCTCAAGACCATTCCACTATAAAAATAATCTTGTCCGTAGAGACAATAAAATAGTATCTAAGAGAAGATGGATATGAGACTTCTGTTCTGTTTTAATGAATTCCTTTTATAGTGGAATAGGCTTTAGAAAGACTAAATGTATAGTCGAAACATGGGCAAATTTTAGGAAAAAAGATTTTGTTAATTATCCATAACCCACAAGAAATCGGACGTCATGGTTATAAAGAATCTATGTAGTGTATATGCTTGAGAAAGACTAAATGTGTAATCGAAACATCGGTAAATTTTAGGAAAAGAAGTTTGTGCTAATTACTGCAATAATAGCAACAATTACCAAGATCTGAAGGAAACACGTGGTAGGAAATATTATCGGAAAACTTTTAATAGTTTTTTTCTCAGAAACGGTTAATATTACTGATTTTGAACAAAATCTTGGAACTTTGTAATTCTTCAATAATTTGTTAATTTTTTTGAAAAACTGCAACTTTCTTGTCAATAAGACTCACTTAAGTCATTAAACTTTCAGAATTTCGTTGATTATTTTTTCATAAAAAATCCTTGCATTAATAAAACTTTATGACAGAATATTAATAAAAAGAAAAATTACTTTGAGGTTATGTAACTCAGTTAATATTTTTCATAGAAAATGAATAAATTTATGCTCTTGATATCTGGACATTTTGTATATAAATAATTTATAACTTCTGATTAGGATTTTTTTTGTAAAATCGACTTTTGTTTAGGAAATAAAAAAAATTATATACAGGGTGATTTCACTTTAAATACAAATACTGCATGAATAGATTCATTACCAAAAAATAGGTGAATACGATGTATTAAATTTCATTCAATTCCGTCAGCGCATTATGACACAAAATACATTTTTTTTTGTAAACATATAAACGCCCTGTATTTCGAATACCGAGTCCCGCAGGGAAAATTTTTTATTTTTTGGTAATGAATCTAGTCCTGCAATTTCTGTATTTAAAGTGAAATCACCTTGTATACACGCAAATCCATACATAGTATATTCCAAACCTGACGAGATTGAGAATGTTTTTATCTCAATCATGAGAAGAAATAGACTGAAATCTGACCTTAGCAAGAACCCTTTACGAAAGAATTACAAACATTACAAAATATTTCCCTTTTTATTGTTGTTGGCAAAGGGTTTATTTACTGTTTTCAACTGTTTTTAGACAACGAAATCATGGATAGTTTCTAAGTTGAACTTACCAATGAGCAATAGGGATCATTTAGCCTATACTCTAACGTTAAATTCTGGAGAAGTTTGAACAAGGAAGCGTGATCAAACTGGCACGGATCGGCCGATATGAAGTCCTCCATCCCATGTTTCCTAGCTCTATCAGCGTCTGGAAAACTATTCATATGAGCACACGGGAAAGGAACGGCCTGAACAAATTTACCTCCTTGTATCTTCGATATGGTGGAGTTTTTATCTTGAAGGGTCAATGGAGGTGTGGGTTTGTGAGATTGGCCGGTAGCGCGATACATCGCCATTACCCACAAGTGACACTCGTTTTCGTCGTCACTGGCATATATGATACTATCTCCTTCTTTAACCGCGTTAAAGAAGTACCTACCGCCCTCCAGGTCTGTAAAGAAGTTTTTGAGTACGTTTATTAAATACTAAGCATTGATAAGGAGGAGGTAACTTACGCTTACCCATTCCGACCATCAAGTTTGCTTGAAAACAAAACGAATATTAGTGAGACGGTTCGGTTCCCAAGCCTGTACGGTTCTTACCACTTGATGCCTCGATGTAGTCCACAGTATAACCGTCTAACTGCATCATCTCCGATGGTTCTGACTTCTTTTCTTTATAGCTACACATGGCGAAAGTATATTGCGACACTTGAACTAAAACGTAATACCTCTTCTTCCACTTTTTCCATACGCTCTTCCCTATAGCGTACAAATAACCACAGTGTTTCATGTTTAGGGGTTTGTCCATTCTACAAGCTATTTTTATTCTGAGGTCTTGGTCGGGAAGATTTTTAGGTACTGTCATTTTGTGCCATTCTGGTGCCTAAATAATGTTTTACATTTTTAACAGAATTGCTAAAACACGTTCGAGTTACTACAGAAGTGCCTATTCATAGACATGTCGTCCTAGTGTGGAGTGGGTGTGCTGTTAGGTGTTCCGTTCTAGTAAAAAATCAATCTGGCGGAAAAATTTTGGAAGGCGATTGACTCATTGAGAAAATACATCGGAATGAATACAGGTTGTTTCATTAAGAACAGAACAGAGCTTACAATTAATGGAAAACTTTGGAGGTCAATATAAAAATAATAAAATGATTATTAACCAGAACACAATTAATAAAAAATGGCAAACTACATCGCAACTCATGTAAAGAAGGAGACGAAAATAAATTGACCTTCTAAATCGCTTCACGGTAGAGTGAAATAATGTCAATCTGGAACAGATAATTAATAGGAAGGAAACATACAAATTACCATAGAAAGGTCAGTTATGTCCTGAAAGTGAAGGTTTTATTATTCCAGTCCAATATTAGATCATAGCCACAAATACCTCCAAAAAGTATATTCTAATGGACGATCATATAATATCAGGTTCCAAGCTATTGAGCACAGTAAAGTAACCAAAATTATACATCAGGCAATACCCAATGCCAATACCATACAAGGTGGTAGAAGTTTGACTGCCTTAATTTTAACAGACGATAGAATACGTTAAAATAAACAAAAAAAAAACTTATATGACATGGGTCCTAAACTCGACCATTTCGGAGAAAAAAATTATCAAATTCTCCAACTTGATGTACAAAAGTTCGATTAATTAAGGAATATTGACAACTGCATGCATAGAATACCATAAAACATAAAATACAGTATTTATCACTTTTTTGAACTTCTTTATGCTCAATTCTAAAAAATAATTAGCGTTGTAATTTTAAAATTCGATAAAATTCATATCGAGCAATGTGGCAACGGCGCGGCGCCTATTAACACGAGGTATAGTTTTTCCGATATCAATTGAAGAACCAAGAGGTTGGCAGTATGTACCAGGTTCGGTCGCTGACGCAGCAACTCGGCATTGAAATATTTGAAAAAGTTGTTCCCTTATTTATTTAGCCATACCCATATACACGTCTGGTCGAACTAAACGTGGAGGTGGTAGAAATGTATACGCCCTGTTAAAGAATGCGAGCGCGGGCAAACGAAATACAAACACAGCTGCATTGGGCCACTGGGCAATACTCAGCTGTTGACAAGTGGTTGACAAATTGCCTAGCAGTGCAGTGCAGCAATGCGGAATCATTGATATTATAATTGCGAAAGGGAGAAATAATATTATTACAACATGGCATTTTGGAGACCTTTTGAAAACATTCTACGACAAAACGGAAAATATCACTTGCGTAATTGTTACAACAGAACCATCTGACCGAAATGTAATATGGAAAATATCAGGAGAAAAAACACATCAAGAACGTATTATTTCAACTACAGGCACGATATTACACCACACTCGTTGAGTAAACACGTGCGTAAATTAATTTAAATCAGGTTATTCAAACCATTGCGCAAAAAGGCACTCATTCTTCATACATAATAAAACATGACCTTTTTTAAATAAAATATGGACTTCCGATGAACTTGGCTGGCCCGACCATCGGAAATATACACCAGAGAAAGCTGCGAACAAAAAAATAATAATAAGGAAAATAATAATCATGCCCAACAGAATCTCTTCCAATAACAGGGATACAGTTCATAATACTTGGAAACAAATAAGTACAACTTTTTTCTGGCGGCACTATATTTTGTTGTTACTGTTTGGGGCCAGTATCTATAACATGCCTGAATACCCTAATTTGTTAGCCGGATTATTGAAGCTAGGACCATGACTTGTATACAACGTGTTGTATATATATTTCGCACTTCGATTAATTGGAGGAGATTCAAACACATTACCCGTATGCGATAGTACCGGACACTAGCTACCATGAATATGTTGCGCTTCATAATAGTTTCATTTCGCTTCCCTATACATAAATGAATGGCATGCCGTGTTATAAACGTATGGTAAACAGAATATCACACGAATAATTATTCCCGCGAAAGCTAACAATCACTTTCCAATCAACTGACAATTCATAATAATTTAACACCGACAATTTGTGGACAGAGCGCGACGATAAAAACAAATGAAAATGAATTACCTACAACTGAATATTGTACTATTGATATTAAAGTACGTTGTGCTTCGGTTGCACATGATTAAAAATTATATACAAAGTACATTCCAAAGTAAAAAATAAGAACAATACGTTTTTTTTTGGCAAAAAATGTATAATATATTTTAGACATCGATGAATTTTTCAAATTAATGGTTTACGTTATAGAGCACGTGACTTGAATGTGGCAAAATGGCAAAATTCATCGAAGTCTAAAATATATTATTGATTAAATATTTATTTTATTTTTAATATTCTTATAAACATTGAAAAATACAACTTTCTCTAGCAATACAATGTAACAATACATGTAACAGTTCTTTTAAATACTATAAAATGCAATACTTATATGTAATGTTGATAAAGTAACATTCAATAATATTCTAGACACAATTTACGCAATAACTGTAACAGTTAATTTTAAGACGATATTTTATACGTCGATCTCTTCTGAGCACGGCAAATTTTCATTCATTTATAATTTTTTTTCAAAGAAATAATTGACTTTTGTTTTTAAATACGTAAAAAGACCTTACTTTTCAAAATATTGAAAGCACAATGAAATTACAAAAGAAAACGTATAAACAATATGACGCTCGACCTCTGCAAATTCACAAATTTAAGCTTTTATTCTGTGTATTTTTTACTTAATTTTAAGCCCCATAAAATTCGATGTAGGCCCGATTTTTGAAACAGGCATGTGCTTGGTCTAATTCGCCCGGATCATAATGCGCATGCTCGGAAAGAATCCTGTTGCGAGGCTACTTCGCTTACATGAAATTATCTTTAATGCGCATGCTCAGTAACATTGATAATTTTAATTTATTAATTACTATAAAAGTCAGTATTCTATAAATTTAAATATGTAAATTCTATAATTCCTTTAGTTTGTCACTAGGGGTTTGAAACTTCTTAAATATTTCAAATATTGCTAGAATATCGCGCTATTTAGGGTCATCAGGTAGAAGAGATTTCTTTGGCATTTATGTCCAAAGTACATAAGGTCGAAAATCGATCTAGTAAAAATATTGAGAAATTCTTCATGACAATGGGGTTGCCTATTATTTGGCGTATGTGACGTCACTACTAAAAATGTCTATTCTGAGTAATTTTTGGTCGTCAGTCAACTTGTGTGTAATAAACTATGTGTCTAAATGTCATGAAATTTTGACAATACACCAGTGAAGGATCTTCCTTTCTAACGCATGTAATTGCTAATAGATGGCATCATTAGAAATACCTATTTTTGAAAAGTCCTGCTTATTTTAAAACGTACCTTGTATTATTAAACTTATTTATTTAAACCGATTATTAGGATCCCTATTCTGTCGATAACAGAATTTCGAATTCCACTTGTTTCGAAATTATTTTTTTTGCATTTTATTCCATATTTTATGTAAATTAATGTTTAACATATATTATGTGAAAGACAAAGAAGTTAAAATAATATTTATCTATTGGTAAGATAGCGCCCTCTGCCGATGAACATAAAATAAATATAATTCTTGAAATTCGCGAACTAAAAAAGAGATTACCAAAATTTTTTTAAACTTTGGCATTGTAGATTGAAAAAGAACAATGTTTAACTCAGTCCTCTTTTTTGATATTTCATCTTTAACGAAACACCCTGTACTAATTCTTTAACTGCGAGTTCCAAAATTTTTCTTTTTATACTGAAATACCATTTTCCTATTTGGGTTAAGTGTATAATAGTGGTACATACGAACAGCTGTATAAAATTTGAGTCACAGAGACAAAATCTACGACACATTTACCAAACTACTTTTTACCTTAGAGGAGAGAGGTGTGGGTTTCAAAATGACCTTCCCCAATTCTTTGTCTTCGAGAGCTAACATTCCTGGGTTTTCAGTGTATAATTTTACTTTTACAATAGGCAACGGATGTGTTGTGCAAAAATCGCCTTGAGTGTCCCACATGGGTTTGCTAGCTTCGGCCTGGTCTGTCTGTAATTTTTCCCCGTTTTCAACTTCCATCGTGCAATAGACAATTCGATTTGGAGCTAAAGACTTTAACCCCCTTACTTCCATCACTATTACCTAAAATAACGGGAATAGAACCACAGAGCTCACATTTAAAGATTATTAAAGTGTATTTTCTTCGCATTACTAGCCTCTTTGGAGAAATTTATACCACTCGTACAAATTATAATTTATTCCACAGAACATCTAAAAAATATTCAATGAAATGTTAGTTTACGTGTTAGAATTCCTGAATTGGCTATTAATGTAATATCTTTTTAACGTCTGTATACCATACCAATTTTAAATTGCCACTCACAGATCTGTTTTAAAGGAAAACTTGTTTTACTCGTCTCTGAAATCTGGGAAAGTTATGAAAACAAAAATAATAGAAGCATTTTATAAACAGCAAAAAATCAAGAAAGAAAATGACCGATAGTCCATAGAGGAATGGTTGAGGACATTAAATGCTGTGACTAGAAAAAGTACTGACTATATCTAGATCTGTCTCATGTAGAACAGTTTTAAGGTTATGTTTTTTTGTGTAAAACTATCCATGTTAGAATCTTGAATGCCATGCTAACAGGAAGAATTTGTAGGGATTTTAAACATTCCATATAGCACTTTTTAAGTTCTGAATTTCTTAAAGGTGTGGACAACTAGCAAGCGAAAAAACACTTTAAAAAGTATGAGAAACTTCCGAATTTTATATACACCCTCAAGCAAAATAATGCATGCCCGGAAACTGTGAACAAAAATTTTAGGTTTCATATAATCGTGAATAAAATGTTATTTTATAAATGGTTTAGACTAGAACCTTTTATTGTCCACAGCTGTAGAGTTAAACGAATTATTTACTAATCCTAGTCTTCATAACATCAATCAAAAATCTGATATGGTGTAAAAAAAATGTCTTTCAATATTTTAATGCGAATGAAAGATATTATATTTTCTACGATTATTCATAAATGATTGCAAGCCACGTGACCAGTATTTTTGTTTGGAATTTTGGAAAATTGACCTCGGATCCGTGATCAGCGACCCCGAAAACCCCCGTATATCAAATTTAGCGCGAATGGGTTATTTTTTTTAATATTTGGTCGGCCATCTTGGATCCGCCATCTTGAATTTTGAAAAACTGACCCCGGATCCGTTATCAGCGACCCCGAAAACCCCCGTATACCGAATTTGGCTCGTATCTGTTATTTTTTGATAATTCGTGATATCTAACCTGTTTTTTTTGAGGTTAGAAAAAAAACATCAATTTTGAACGCGAATTCACGTTCGGCGGGGTCTAAACCATATACATTTGAATATAGAAAAATTTTTTTTTTATTTTCCTAGCACTCTCGTGAATTTTTGCTTTTTTTGACCTGTTTTATGAGGTTAGGAAATTCCTGTGCTAAGATAGCTCGATTCTGACACCGGATTCGTGATCAGGAGGCAATAATGCTATGGATAACATGTGTCGCATGAAAAGTACAGACAGCTTTTTTTGTGTGGCTGTGTAATTAAAGATATTTTTATAACGTTGAGGTTATACACTCTGTTAATATGGAGAATGGCAGGATCCGTACAGCTGTGGACAAAAAAATTCTGGCGTAAAATACATAAACAGTGTGTTTTAGAAAAAGGAACCACAAATTCTGAGACTGATACATCAAAGACACACACCTTAAAAAATCTAACCTCAAAAAATGTCATTGGGTAAGGTCATAGTTAGCGACCCGCAGCAGGACGTCAAAAGCTAATAGCATTGTCATATTTTGCACCCTTAAAAGTCTACCCGTACCTTTCAGTGCATTACATTGTTTTTTTAAAGAAAACTAATAAAGTCCCAATTTAAAAGGACAAGCAGTTTAGGTCGGAATCTTTTTATTATCCACAGCTGTACATGGGACATTCACCTAATAAATTTTGTGGTCATAGTTTCCGGGCACCCTGTAGATGTAAATAAGGCCATCTTCGTTAAGTGCATGTAAAATTCGGAGTTCGGGTCATTCCGTGGAATCGAAATTGTGGTTATGGGAGGGGTAAATGCAGGTGGTGGTAAATTTGCGAAGAAATATCAACAATCATGCTCACATCTAGGTGCAATAGCAATGTGTTAAAAATTACATTAATCGTGGATATCAAACAAAGTAAATCTTCCTGACGATCTGAAACGTTCCTATAAACAGTTAAAATGAAAAAGCTGTGTGGATTTTACAATTTACTTTGCTCGACACTAAGTGATTAAATTGTGTAAACTAAACAGCATCAAGTAGGGGTCACTATCGGGGTCTAATATAATGACTGCGTAAATTTTCCATATTTGAGTGTGAAGAATGCAATATAGGGAAAAATAAATTCCATCGAGAACGGGTGAAAAACCGGTTTTAAACATTCAATAGCTTTCAACCCAATTTAAGGATTGCAAATTGATACAATTTAAATGTCACGTATGATAATTTTTTAATAAATAATAATATTTTGTAATAAAAAATATATATAAATATAATCTAAATACTGGAAATTATAGAAAAATACCGCGGACGTCGTTGAATTGCAAAAATTAAACGCACCCTGTATCTTTCGAACGAATCAAGATATCGAGATGTAGTTGTGGACATTAATTTATTTTCAAAAATTGAGCTGGACACATCGTTTGTCTGTCTGATGAGAAAATACAAGGAAGACCTCAAAATTGTCGATATTTGTCCACCCTGTAAATTTACCAAAACATCTTGGGGCCAATTTCTTCATCAACTTATTGAATCAACAACTGGTAATTGTAAAATAAATTTAAAAGAGCGTTTCCTTTGCTATAAATATCATAAATTTAAAGTAATAATTATTAAGAATAACAGAAAAACAATTTTATTTATTTTTTCGAAATTTATTTTCCCCTTTGCCTTATCTTTAAATTCATTGCGCAAAAATAACTGGTATATTTTGCGCACATACAAGGTGTCCCACTTAAGACGGCTTCTTTTCCAGTACTATTTTCGATTTTGAAGGGTGTCCATTTCTCCTGGGCGTTATAGTCTTTCCGATTTCAATTGAATAACCAAGAGGTTGGCAGTATGTATATACCAGGTTCGGCCGCTGACGCATTATATACAAATTATTAATTTTGTACCTTTAGCAGAAAACTTGTTTAGGGACACCTATGAAATTTATTAAATTTTATTGCTAGGCGTTTTTATATGCATGTTCAACTGACTTTGGAAAGACTATACCTAACTTTATTCGCAACGTCCCGTGTATTAAATTTTTTAATTTCTCGTTGGATTTAAGGGCTTTCATTAGCAAACATGGTCTTTTATCGCAATAAAGATCAACCTGGTTTGGTGCAGCTTTCATTAGAGATACCTTTTTTTATCACTCATGTTACCAAAGCTACGGAAGAATCTGTCTTCAGTGGGACACCCTGTACGAAGTTTTGCTCTGACAAATAGCCTCCTCTGTTTGGTACTTTCAGTGACAGCTTTCCTAGTTGGTGTGCTTAGTTGTAACGGTGGGAGCGTTGCGTTTGTGTTTACCTCTAACTGGAATGTCAGAACCACGTCAAGTTTTGTGAGCTGCGTGTCGCTGTCCGCAGAGTCCCCTTCTAGTTTTGCTAAAGACCCTTGTGATCTAAAAGAAGTAACATAATTCATCAATATGTGCTTCACATTATACGGATTATTATGGTTATGCAACCTGTGATTATAGCGTTTTAGTTTTTGTAAGCCATATTTAGAATCCATCGATCCTTTCGAAACGGGCAGCGACTCTAAATTTGCCATTAATAAATTTATTGATGATTTAAGTTCTTCTATGTAAAGGGACTCCATTTCTTTCAGAACGAATTTCGGCATTAATTTTCGGTTCTAAAACGAGGTAATATCAGTCATTATTCACGTCTTGGAAGCTCGTCAAAAGAATTGAGCGGCAGAAAAGGCCGAGTGCTCAAATAGAACATAAAATGTGAAACTCATTTAATTCGACATTTGTTAAATACGGTGTGCCGCCCGGGAACTAAATCGATCGGCGCCGAGATATTCCATTTTTTTTAAATTTTTGTATTAGTAAAACCGTCTTTACATACAGGGTGTCACAAATTAGTAAGTCAAGCCTTTAACACAGGCGAAAACAATGAGACCGAAATTAAAAATGACATAATTGAAGACTCATTATCTTCACCCAAGTAATCTGTGGTTAACGGATTGATCTACTAATTTGTGACATACTGTACAAACCTTGGAATGCCTCTTGAGTACAATTTGAGAAATATTGTTTGCTCGTTGAACTCCGAACTGATAGCAATATCCAATGTCAAACATCGTTTAATCTTGAATGCCTATCTCGTTACTGGTAAAACTAATTTCGGTAAAGTTAATCTCGGAAAACCTTGTATATATTCTTGACGAATTGAAGAGCTTTAATTACCATTTTTACATCTAAGGTTTAAGCTATGTCGACAATTAAACAGACCCGCTTTTTCTATATATCTAAATGTAATAAAATAATTTTCTACAAGTACATACTTGATATTGATCGAATTTAATTACGGGCGGGACACTTTATATACGGGATGTTCCAGGATTTAAGTGACAAACTTCAACGGAAGATAGACTACAGTTATGTAACTTCCGAACGCCCTATATTTATCATTTAATTATTTATTGCTTCTGAGAAACAGGCTGTTCTGTCTGATTTGACCGAAACGTTACTGTCCAAACCAGAAGCCTATGACCGGCTGTCCTTTGGATGCGTTTTCGTCCGAATTATTTCCGTCAGAAATCGGACTAATAATTTTGTCAGATTGTCGCCCATGTGGTATGGTTAATATGAATGATTATCTTTTGGAAAATAGTTATCTTATCCGATTTCTGACGAATCCAATTCAGACGAAAACGTACCCAAAGGACGACCGGACTAATATACCATACTACTAAAAAGTACCATGGTCTTAGATTTTTTAAAAGTTGTCTTTGGCGTCTGGGATAATATCACCCTGTCTTCTGACTAATATTAGTAAAAATTATAAAAGCTCCTGGATCAATATACAAACTATTTAATGACAAGGGACACGTAGGTCATTTTAAAGAATCTCTAATACTGTAATGGAGTAAATATGAAGTGTTTTGAAGTGAGAAGATGGTACTCTATATCTCATTAAAGTTTGTCACCTTAAACATAGAACACCGTGTATACTTTAGCTACTCAGTCTTTCAATTATGGAAAACTAATAATTTTCTGTAACAAATTACTGGTATCTATGTATTTTTCAGTTCTATAAAAAAACAGTAAGTCTTTGTACAGTTACTTTCTGCCTTTAGTCGATTTAAAACAGTTACTATACAGGGTGGTCTTTAATTACGTTCCAATAATAAAGGGGAGTTACTCCTCAGTTAATTCTAACAAAAAAATCGGAGTTATACGAACCGGAGGAGATATTTTATTGAAGTTTGGTACACTGTCACCATAAACCCAAGAATCTCATATGGGGCTATGGGGTTCTTGAGTTTATGAGATTATGACCATTTCTAATAAAGGGTTACGAGGTTATAGAGTTACTTCCTGGTCTAGAATTCCTTTGTTTTGTTGTTTCCTCCGTTCCCAGTTTCATAGAATTATGGGATCAATGTGCTCATGAGGTTATGGTGTTTTCTGATAAAGGGTGGTAAGGTTATCGAGTTTCCAATTCCAAGGTGTTGGAACCTATAAAGATCGTCATTCGAGACGAATCTCCTCATACTCTCCGGCTTAGGGTATGCAGTTCTAGGGTTATGTTGTTGTGAGGGGTTGAGGTTAGGGGGTTTCAAGGTTATAGGGTTTGTATGAAAGTCCCCTATTTTTACTATTTGCAGTCGAGTGCTTTGGTCTTGAATGGGCTATTGGGGACTTTTGAACGTATACATATAAATTAACGATTTACAAAAAATCCTGAGGTGTAGGGTCAAAACGGAGACCAGATTCAGTGGCTGAAAATATGTATGAATAGGAGAAATGAAGCTTTGTAGGAACTACAATAGGGTTTCAATAAATTTTATCTTCCGGTCCCTATTGTGTGGGCAAACATCAATTTTTTTTCTTCAAATTTTTTTTTATCATTTATATCCAAGAACTAATCGATTCCACCCCAAACAGTACCTCCCCCCTTCCTAGTCAGGATCAAGGTGCATTAAATCAAACTACCTCGGAGGTTAGGTTTTTTGGGTTGCCGAGTCCGAAACGGAGGTTAGTTTGTTGTATCTGGCCATTTTACGGCTGTTTCAAGGTAATTTCAAGGTCAAATTGAGGAAAAGCCGAACAATCAAGTCCGACCACATGTTATACAGGATTTTGGGGTCGCTGAGTTCGAATCCGAGGTCAGTTTGTCTGTATCAGGTTATTTGAAGGTCGTCTCAATGTCATATCAAGGTTAAGTTGAGAAAAGCCAAGCAATTAAGTCTAACCGCCTGTTGTACACATATTTGAAGTTGCTCAGTTCAGTTTATCTGTGTCAGGTCATTTGAAGGCCATTTTAAAGTCATTTGAAAGTTTTATGGAATAAACCCTGGAATCAGTTACCGTTCTTATAATCGCTGAGTCCGAATCCGAGGTCCATTTATATGTATTAATAAAGGTTCAAGGTTATTCCAAGGTTGATTTGAGAAAAAGGACTTCTGGTAGGGTTAATGAGAGATCATTTAAAATTCCTCTGATTTCGACCAAAGCTAAACTTGTTGATACTAAAAATAGGTTTTTAAAATCATTCGAGTTTAAACAGAGCTACGCAAGGTTTAGGCAAGTTCATCTGAAGGAGAAAATGAGCAGATCTTTTATCTCGAAAACTACTCATTTAACACAAAAATGCTCTGTACAAAGGTCGTAGGATTCGAACTTATCTATCTCAAAACCTATATAATAGTCTGTTCGACTTAATTGCTCGGCTTTTTCTATTTGACCTTGAAATGACCTTGAGACGACCTTTAAATGACCTGATACAGGCAAAGTAACCTCGGATTCTAACCCAGCGACTCCAAGATCTCGAAAACTACGTATTTGACACAAAAATGACCTGTACAAAGGTTGTAGGATTTCGCACGAGTTCCACATCAGTGATCTCTTGACTTAAAACTTGGCCAATCCTCCTTACCTTCGGTTCACATTAAGCTAATCGACATAAATCAAGTAGTGGAGGACTAAATCGTCAAATAATTGGACCTTGGATTCAAACTCAGAGACTTCAACAACTTTAATCGATTTCTCGTTTTTTTCTTGGTTTGACCTTTAAATGACCTTGAAATAACCCTCAAATGACCTGATGCAGACAAACTAACCTCGGATTCGAACTCAGCTATCCCAAAAACCTATCTAACAGACGGTTAGACTTAACTGCTCGGTTTTTTCAATTTGACCTTGAAATGACCTTGAGGCGACATTTAAATGACCTGAGACAGACAAACTAACCTCGGATTCTAACCCAGCGACCTCAAAATCCTTTATTTGGACTTGATTGCTCGGCTTTTTCTCAATTTGATCTTGATTTAATGTACTTTTTCTCAATCTGACCTCTAATTGACCTTGATCCTGACTAGGAAGGAGGTGGGAGCTCCCACTTGAGGTGGAATTGATTAGTTATTGGATATAAATAATACTTTTTTTTGGCCAGCCTTTAACTGCAAAGTGAAGAATCACCACCGGTATTACCAGAATATAATTAAGGACCACTCTTTATTTTCGTCTGTTGGTGCAATAACTCAAAATATCACCATGCAGCAACAATATCTTTACCTTTTCCATCTCAGCGACCCTTTGCATTCTACCATCTAGCTCTCTCCTGATAGCTGCAGCCTGCTCGTCGGCCGAATCGAGCTGAAAAAAATCCATTATGATGCCTTTTACCCTTTCGCATTGCCGCAACTCACCATCAACGCGTTGAATAATAGCTGATGTTCGAATTTTTTAACTCCCAGTATCTGTTGAAACATATCGTAAAGTTGTTCCTTCGACAAGATCAGTTCGGAATTCAAATTTTGCTGCATTCTGGACGGTCGCTTAGAATCGTCGTCGGTGACTTTGAGAATGCAGTCGAATTTGGCCATCCACGACGTAAAGACTGTCTCTTTACTCAAACCTTCCATTTCCGGCAAAGACCTTGAATAAAGATAAGTATTTGTGTTCATTTAATTAGAAGGCGGTAAAAGGCAAGGCAAGGTGAAGGATTTTGTAATAAAATTTTATTAGGCAATCGTTATCGATAAAATCTAATAATTCCGAAACCATATTTCAGAAACATAAATGTAATTTGCCGAAGGTGTTCAATTTACTGCGTTTCCTTTTGGCAAAGCGTGAACAGAATAAATGCGGTGAATATTAATGCTTAAATATTATCATGAATTAGCCCCAAGGGTTGTATGCTACAACGGATATTAAAGGCGTTGTTGCGGAAATTTTAGTACCTCCAAATAAAATAATAAAGAATATATATTTTATTACCGGTTCGTGCATTTATATCGGCACCCCACAAAAATAAATCCAGTGGGTTGAGGTCCCGAGTTTTCAGTTTTACTCGAAAATCAGGCTTTTTTCGAAAAACACAAAGAGAGTAGTAATTTGTAGAAAATTGAAAAACGAATTCGAAAATATCATGGTTGTTACCGTAAAGCAGTGGCGTACTATTTTATTTAGAAAAATATGCCACCGATACCCTGTATCTCCACCACTGGAGCATGTAAATTTTGGGAAAAGCCCTCAGACTTTGGACAATGTTTACATAAATACACGTGCCCAATTTCAAATTATTTCACTTAATAGTTTTTAAATTATTTAAAAAAATTAAAAATATTTTTTGAATTTTAACAATGAACACATATAATAGAAATTTTCTACAAATTATATACAAATTATTATAATTTTTTACCTTTAGCAGAAAACCTTATTAGGGACGCCTATGAAACTCATTAAATTTTATTGCTAGGCGTTTTTATACATGTTCAACAGACTTCGGAAAGACTATAACAGAGAAAAAATTTATAAAGTAGATATTTGAAAGTTTCGGATTATAAAAATCACTCCGTATAGATAGACAGATTACTAGATCGACTGTTTTGTATCTAAAAAGGGTCAAAACATTGTTTGACTTCATTTGATGAGATTTTTTAGGAAAAAAATATAATTTGCTTTAAATCCAAATGGTTTTGATTATAATTTTGCAAATGGAAGATTATCATTTCCGCATGCGCATCAAACAATTGCGAAATTGACAAGTAATGTGTCAAGGAAATTATTTAGAAGCAACCTCATCCGAAGTAATTGCATTTTCATATGTGCGAAAAATACCCCCACCCCCTCTTCACAAAGATGTGGTCTTTCACCTTTTAAATTTGTTGATTTTCGCGTAATTATTTTATTAATTACCATCCAAAATTTTATTACAAAAACGAAATAATGTTAGAATCTTGTGATTCGAATGGTATTGATTACGAGTGTCATCCAAATGCTGATATTGCATCGCAATTGTACGCCGAGTGTTTTTATTTAATCAAGTTCAAAGGACGCAAAAGAGTATAGCTACAGGAAAATTGCAGTGGACATGCCTAGAAATCGTAAATCATCAACCACTGAGAGAATATTCCGAAAATACCGACATTTCTTCCTTAATCGCGTGTTACCTAGTGTATTTTATTAGCCCCTTTTCCAAGGGTAAATCCCTTAATCAGTTTTAGATACTCACCTTACCCTCTTTTCTATATTATTTCTAAAAACTTCCCTGAAGTCGTAATGGGAACAAGCGCCAGATTGTACCATCTTGACGACCCTTTCAGATTTTAAAAAAACATCGTAATAATTCTGTACAGCGTTCTGAAAGGCTTCGTCCGCCATTATTTGAGTTTCGCCTTTTAAAAAACTCTGCAACAGAAACAAACGTTATGCGCGAATCGTCGGAATTCGACCAAAGTTTTACCAAAGTACATCAATTTATCAAAAAATTAAAATTAATAAACACAGAAATGACTTGAATAATCCTAAACTGATCTGAAGATGTACTGGATAAAAGATTGGACACGGTATGCGTAACACAGTGTATACAGGGCGTTCCGTTTAAAAGATCCCAGCCCGATGTCTCGAAAATCGAAAGGTACGTGAAAACGCATATAAATAACTTCAATTCAGAGTCTAAATAATATTTGTCTCCAAAGCGGTGTTGCGGAATAAATAAATTTTTCTATGACAACATTTTAATAGAAACAATTATTGATTTCGGAGATACCTGAGTTAAAAGTAAGTTCTAAATCATTTATAATAATTTGTGTTCATTAAAATATTTCAGAAACTAGCTACTTGTCAAAAATTGTTTGTATTAAGAAAGTTACTCATTATCACTTGCCAAACCATCTGTCATAGAAAAGAGTCTGAATTATAGCGCCATCTGTACTTTTATGAAAAGTAATGCCATTAATTTGTACTCAAAAACAAACATATAATAGTTTATTTCGCCTGGTGCGGGGTTATATCTCACCCACACTCAGAACTTAGGTAAATCTTTTGGTTCCGGCTGGAAGATATTAAATGAAACTCCCTGTATACTTACTGAGTGGCCCAAACCACAAGGCCATTCCTATAGCTTCTTTCGGTGTAGAGTTAGCGACATTATTTTGTAAAATAGGCAACAGAGGGACTAATTTTTATAGCACCTCTAAACCAAATCACATTATTTTACACACAAAGTTATGAGAAAACTGACATTTTTAGCAGGTGACGAAGAGTTAATATTTATACGATTTTTAATTATAATTTTACACCAAAATATGGTGTCCTATTGAACTTGTAATATTGTGAAAATTTATTTACTTGTAAATTACACCATTGTTGCCTATTTTAGATACTAGAACGAAATATGCGAAACGACATATAACAGTGACCCGATGGTTTGGGACACCCGGTATTTAAACATACACATATAATATACACACATATATAAATCTATATGTTCACAAAGTAGGTATGACTGCTAGATATAGTAGGTATGTAAGCTAAGAAGATAGATAAGCTGGGAATAAAACAATTTTCTTGCGTAGGGTTAGGTTTGGTATGATATACAGGGTGTAGCGCTTAAGTGTGTCAATGTAGGAAAATTTTTCTTGTTCAAATTTCCGAAATTTTTACGTGATTTCTGACAAACTCTATTTAGGTGAAAAATGGGGAATTAAAAAAAGCATTTTGAAGCTGTAAGATTCTAATTTTTAGATCTTTTGGTCGAATTTTTTTAGGAGCGACGGTTCATGCAATTCTAAGAAATAGCGCGACAAAAAAATTTTGCAAATTTTCTTTTTTCTTTTTCTGAGTACACCAGAAATTTTTTTTCAGTTAAGGACCAGATAGCTTGTTTCTTCAGCTTCAATTTCCTTTTTTTTTAAATTTCGATACGACTATTTTTCACCGAAATATCAGACTTTTAATGGAAAAGGATTCTTTTGTCTTCAATAATCGATATCTCGGCGACAAATCGTCGTACAGAGAATTGAAGGACAGTTTCGAAAACTGGAATAAATTTCCTATAACATGCTGCTGCAACTTTTCGGAAAAAAAATGTTTTTTTCATCGTATACACGAATTTAAAAAACTGGAAAAAACTTTAAATTTTTAATTTTTTTTTCCATCAATTTATTCTATTAATTTATTTGCGGTAAAAATTTTTCCAATTTAATCATGATTATGAAGTGTTTAAGCTCAAAAAACGTGACCCTTTAATTTTTTGCAAAAGTTTGACTGTTTGAAACAAAGAAACGGTTCGCTAGATCGAGATGAAACTTCACAGGGTTCTTCTGGGTATATCGAACTGTGAAAGTCATGCTTTACATTAGTCATTTCGTGAATATTTTTAATTTAGCCGTCAATTTTCTAAAAAACCATAAATTACCATTTTCTTAAATTCGTGTAAAAAATGAAAACAAATATTTTCTGAAAAGTTGCGGCAATTTGCAAAATTTTTTTGTCGCGTTATTTCTTAGAATTGCATGATTACCGTCGCTCCTAAAAAATTTCGACCGAAATATCTAAAAACTAGAATTTTAGACCTTGAAAATGCTTTTTTAATTCCCGATACGACCATTTTTCACCTAAATGGAGTGTCAAAAATCACATAAAAATTTCGGAAATTCTTTCGACCATTTAATTTTTTTCATTAGTGTATAAACTATAACTTAACTCAACTTAAACCTATGGCGTAGATTTGATAAGTACTGATTCTATTTTTCATAAAAAATTATGGCACACCACTGGAGAAATAAAAAGTTTTCTGGTATTTTTTAAAAACTGTGACGTTATTTTTGGAAACTTGAACCTCGTGTATCAAAAACCAAGGGCAAATATTTAGTAAAAAAATATCCTTACATTTGGGTGAGGAATAGTCCTTATTTTTAGACATTAAATTGTTCCAATATTTCTGATTGTTTAAAAATAACGTTTATTGTAACTAAAAATAGAGCTCTTCCGAAAAAAAACAATGGAAAAATATGTATGTTTTGTTTAAAATATAAAATTAATTTATCAATATAATTCGACAAATTACCTTTCCCAAATGAAAAATACTTACCCGTCATACTGAAATTGTAAATAACATTTCAACCTTTTGTTCCGGACATGAAATTCAGTCGCAGTACGTTAATTAATGTATTTCTGCATTCAATGGGCTTAATATTTATAAATTAAATGAATATATTTATAGATCGGTAATCCGTAATAGTAGAGCTAATCTGCAGTCGAATGAACCATAATATAAAACATATAAAAGCCAACGGTTTTAGAGATATTTTAATTTTTGATATAACTGCGGTAACGCAAGTTCTGCAATATAATTTCGACACATTAAAAACACGAGAGCTTTTGCATCTGCCAAAGCATTAAATCCAACTGTACTTTCATGCTTGTGTAATTATACAACATTTTTAATTACCTTTCGAATGAAATCCAGAACGATTGGAGCTGACGTCATACATGGAGGGTATCAAATGTTTTTAAAATTACTTTCAACTTCAAAAATATTATTAAACAAATCCTCACAGCCAGTGACAAGAAATCCGTGCAATGTTGGCTTCAGTTATTGTGGATCCTGTATAATGTTGTAGGAAACATTTATTTACCTCTATAATAGAAAGATTATGGCTGTGGGTACCGACTTTATCCTTATTCTGAATAGAGCTGGTGGGAAGAATAAAATACTCGTAAAACTCAATAAAATACTGACATTTCTATTTTCTATCTCTTATACGAGCACGAGGCGTGTTTCTTATTTCCGTATATAATTTTTATGCCGGATTCTATATTTTTTCAATATTAAGTTTCAAAATAAAGTTCATAGAAACTTGCACCATTATTTTTATGTGAAGAATCACATCCTAAATGTTTATAGTTTCCGAACACCTTATTTATAATTTAACTCATTCATATTTCGTGAGTGATCTATTAAATCAAATTTTTGAATAAAGGACAATTGAAAAACAGTTCTGAAAATGCAAAATGAATTTCTTGTTGGTCTTTGCCCAAAGTGGAAATTTTTGATATTTTGAAATATTAGTTAAGGAATTCAATATGTCAGGTATGTTTTTATTAATATTAATAATTTGGATGCAGCGCTTTCATTTTTAGTAATATTTACTAACGTTTCCATTAGTTTTCTTTATCATATAAACTAATGCAAAAAATTATTGTCAAAAGAATTTCCGAAATTTTTCCGTGATTTTTGATAGACTGTAATTAGGTGAATTAAAAAACGCATTTTAAAGCTTGAAGATTCTAGTGTTTAGATCTTTCGGTCGAAATTTTTTAGGAGCTACAGTTATTATGCAATTCTAATAACGCGACAAAAAAATTTTGCAAATTTTTTTTTTATTTTCTGAATCCACGGACTTGGAAAATTTTTTTCAGCTAAACCATTGCAGACCAGATAGCTTGTTTATTCAGCTTCAATTTCCTTTTTTTAAATTTACATACGACCAGTTTTCATCGAAATATCGGACTTCCAATGGAAAAGGATTTTTTGTCTTCAATCATCGATATCTCGGCGACAAATGGTCGTATAGAGAATTGAAGGGCAGTTTCGAAAACTGAAATAAATTTCCGATAACATTTTTGGAAAAACATTTTTTTTCATCTTTTACACGAATTTTAAAAAACAGGAAAAAAGGGTAATTTATTGATTTATAGAAAATTGACGACTAAATTAGAAATACCTATTCACGAAATGTTAAGCATGACTTTTACAGTTCGATATACCCAGAAGAACCCTGTGAAGTTTCGTCTCGATCTAGCGAACCGTTTCTTTGTTTCAATCAGTCAAACTTTTGCAAAAAATTAAAGGGTCACGTTTTTTGAGCTTATACACTTCATAATAATGATTAATATGGAAAAAAAATCTTTTGAGGTTTTCTCACATTTTTGCCGCAAATAACGTTTAAATTGACGAACAAAAATATTTTTTTTAACTTTTTTTCAGAAAAGAAAAGGGTAGTTTTGGAAAAAACTGTTTTTTAAGTGGTTACAGACTTCACAAAAATTAATTAGAAATTTGTCTCAAATACCGGTATGAATCGGGGTCGAAATCTGGTTTGGGTCATCAACTTTAGCTTTTAATTTAATTAAATGTTGATGAACAGAGGTATAGGACGGAAAAGCCGAATTAGTCCAATTAAATAGGCCTTTAAATCGCAATTTTGGGCAACTTGCCTGAATTTTTGATTTGTTAGTTTGAGGTATATAATAACAATAAGTGACAGTAATTTTTTTTTCAACCTCCGGCCAGGTGTGAAAAAAGATAAAATAAAGGGGTTTTTCAAGTTAACTCCAAAGAGGTAAGAGCTAGAAAAAGAAGTTTCTTATAAAAGTTGTAGAGCATAAAATTCTACATAAAA